TCAAGTAATTTGAGGGTTGCATAAGTTTATGGATTTGGGACTAAGCCACATGCTACGGATATGTTTCAGCCATATCCTCCGATGCTAGCTCATCCTATTTAGCCTATGGTTCTAAATCTGAATCAAAATTGAAGATCTAAAGAGCAAAGTGTTAGATGTGCAAGAATAAATCAAGGTGTTGAATTGGATGTTTCATTTCCATTATTAAGATATGATGGACTTTATGAAATTAATGATTTTTTCAATCAAAACACATCGATTATTTCATTATTTTGCCCAAGAGAGCATTTTTTGTGAAAAGAATCGATCACCTCCTTAAAAAGATCGATGATTTTGCACACAAAAATCTTTTTTGTAGCAAGAAGATTTTATTGATGAAAAATAAGGGATTACCAATAGAATGTTCCATCAATAAAACTTTTATTAAGGGAAATATGTCTTATATTAATTAAATTCAGCAATTATAAAAATTGTATAACGACATAATTTTATAGATTTGTGACGAAACATTTTGTTAATAAAATTAAAAGAAAAAATTCTTTAGTAAGACTTTTATCAATAAAAATAAATAATTAATTAATTAAATTCAATAATTACAAAATTTGTATAACGACAGAATTTTATAGATTTGCTACAAAATATTTCATCAATAGTAATGTTTTATGAAAATTTCTTTTGGGTAAAACTTTTGGCAATAATTTAATTTATGAACTAAATCACTAATTTTAAAAATATTTTTGTATAGTTGGCATTATTAATGATATATAAAAATCCATCTTAGCACCTATTAGATCAATAGCTCCAAAATTTGAATGTGTCAAATGACAATAAAAGGTCTCTGTTTTTTTTTTTTTTTTTTTTCTGTATGAGTTTGATTTTTCTAGATCAATTTATTTTTCAAGTTTGATATTTTTTTATTTGTAAATTATTGTTAATTAAAATTTGAAAAAAGTACTCTCTTAAAATCATGAATAAAGTAGTTTTCAAACACACATATATTAATGTTAAAATTAAATTTAATCAAATATTTAAAATAACTAAGATCAAAGTTGAAAATTTTTTATGAGAAAAAATAAATTTAAGATGGTATTTATGGGAAAAAATAAATATGAATTAGTAGGAGTATTGAAGAACAAAAAAGAAAAGTAGCTTACAAATATGTTTTTTAATTTAATTTTTATAAAGAAATTCGCAATCTAAAATTAATAAAAATAATAATAAATATTAAAATTTAAATCTCAACTCTATTAAATGTCACGAGTAATTAGATGAATTATTGCTTCAATTAATGTTTTTAGTTGAAAGTCTTGTTATATGATATTTATATATATATATATATCTATATATATATATATATATAAAGGCTCAAGCCAACTATCGACTTTAATTCCAATTTAATTTATAGTACACTTGTCGATGAGACTTTAACTTAGTATAAAGAAAAAATTTTAAAATTTTGTAATTTTATGTTCGAATTGTACATGGATTTAATTATTTAATTATGTTATAATTTATTAATTGATTGTTTAATTATCATAATTTATTTATAATATAATAATTAATTATTTAATTAATCATATAAATTTAATACTTAATCATCAATCATCAGTATAGTTTCAAAATTTTATAATACACTTAATTGAGTAGCACACATCATAGCCAATAGTGATCATTCGCACCGGATCATTACTGCCAACCGGATCAAGTCATCGAACCGAACCGGTCGGAGCGTGCCATCTTGATCCTGATAGGCCACCATTGGTTTGATTACGTCACCCTATGCGGAAGGGGTGACGTCATAACACTAACCCGGCTTTCCATGAAAGCCACGTGGTAGAATTATTGGTACACTGACAGCTCCAGCTTCTGCCTTAGGTTTCTTCTTTCACGCCTTAAATAAGCGCGTTGTATACACGTTCTTCTTTGTTTTTTTTTTTTCTTCTCTCTCTAGAAAGGACCAGTGAACAATCAAACGAGTGACTGGTTAAATTTTATATGGATAATTAAATTAAATAAATTCATAATAGGTAAAGAGATTAAATCAGGCGTCTCAAATGAATTATGTTGGGTTAGTATAACATATTTAAATATTCATTCATACGTTAATGAATAGTATTGATCTAATATTATTTTTTAATGATTCGTACTAATGCGGTTTATAAAAGTTAAAGGCATTAGCCAACATGACATATGATTTCTAAGTTTCATTGATTGTATCTTGTCAAATACAATACTATTTTTCGTGTCAATATTTTTTTAAATTTAAATTTTTTAAAAAATTATCTATTATTATTAAAAATAACATATAAAAGATAATAAATACAAAATAATATAAAAAAATATAATTTATGTGCTTCAGCTAAATGTTTACATCTACAAACATAGATAATAAAATCCATTAAATAAACATATTGAAATTACATTTCTAATATTAAAAAAAAAAACACATACACATTATCCATCAAAATGTTCAATAATACATATATAACTAAGGTTTTGTTAATTGGTCCAATATCATAAGTAAGTAAAATTTTATTGGAAATTTTTGATAAATTAGATATTAAATTTTCTTTATAAAAAATATTTTAAAAGCATATGATCTAAGAGTATTTCTTGAAACTATTTTATAGTTAGGTTGTATACCATTTTTAATTAAATTATTAAAATGTTCATCATTTAAAAAACTAATGATTGCTCGAATCTCATTATAAATTTAGCTAATTGATTACGTTAATTATCTTGTGAAAAAGAAAATGCACCTAAAGATCTATTAGAATGCTAACAAAGTATAATTTGTGTGGGATCATTAGAAGTGGCGATGTAGCCTTGTGTTTTTCCTTATGTCTTTTCAGATAATCAGTCACTCTTTTTGTTTTATAACTAAAATCTTATATATATATATATATATATATTATAAGTTTAAAGATTTAGATCATATAACTTTGAAAAAAATGTTAATTTATTTTTACATACACAAATTTAAATAAATAAAAATAATCCATATATCAAATAGTTTACAAACTAGTTAGATATAATTTATTTATCAATAATTTAAAATTTAATAAGTAAATTTATTTAATATAATTTTCTTATATAAATTACCAAAAAATAAATATAATTTCATTAGAATATAGAAGATAACATGAATACACTTAAAAGGTAGAAGCACATTTTTAAAAGTTATAGGTTAACATAGCACGACAGATTTGGGTTTGTGTATCGTGCTATGCTAGTTTACATATCACATGTTAGCATTAGCCTTTAAAGGGCTATGCTGTGCCGACTTATGGGCTTAAAAACTTTTAGCCTAATACCTCACACATATATGTATCGTGCTTGACCTAACTCGATTATTTAACAACAATTCATTTTTATGACGAATTATGTCATATCATAGGCCACTCGGTCCATTTGACACTTCTAATTTTAATATGTTTCATTTATTTTTTTTGCATAAGTTTAATTAAATTTTAAAATTTAAATTTTTAAGTGTGTTTTCATTTAAATTTTAGTGTTTGAAATTTTCTATTTGGATAAATTTGGATACCAATTTCATAACTTAAAAATTTTGAGAGATTTGAATATATAAGAAACTATAATTAGGGTGAATTTAATAAACACATACAAAATAGATTAGATTTGACTTTTATAATATGTTGTGTTAATTAGGAGGATGTGTATATATGTTGTTTGACTTAATTATAAGTGGATATATTTTTTACTAAATTAATTTTTTTATTAACTAAATTAATTTGATTTAAATAATTTAATGTTAAAAAGATAAGATTTGATTGTCTTAAAATAAAAAATATATATATATTCAAATCCATGTATTTGAGTAAGGGTGTCAATTAATCGGATCGAGATATGGCAAATTTTTTCTCTATTTGATTTCAATATATTCTTTTAATATCTATTTTTGAACTTGATTTAATATTAAAATATTATTTTTATACTTAACTTGACTTGACTTTTGATTTTAAAAAAAATTAAATTTTATCGAATCGAGACTAATCAAAATTATTCAAATACGAATTATTTTATCATTACTAAATTTGATTAATGATTATAATCTTTCTTTCTCCTAAAGAGAATACACAAGTCAAGTAAAATTATTAAAAATAATCATGATCCATGTTAAAAAAAAATTAAATCTCTTTTTTCTTAAATGAAAAATATGCAAGTCCATCGATTTGAGTAAGGATTTTAATCTTTCTTCCTCTACAAGAGATTCCATATGTGAAGTAAAATCATTGAAAATAACCATATGGATAAAAAATTCCTTCTCTCATTTTACTAGAAATCTTAGATTTAAATATCATTATATAAGAATTTAATTATTTAATTATTTAATTATGTTTTAATTTATTAATTGATTATAATTGTAACTTTTTATATTTATAATTAAAAAAACCCAAAGGAGTCCGGTAAGGGGTTTGATTGTTTGCTTAAAATAGAAAAAAAAATGATACTTCTTACTGTTCTCTTGGCATATATTTAGTAGTTTCAAAATAATTCTTTGTTTGGAAAATAAAAAAAATGATTTTTATTTTTTCTTATTATTCTCAACTATAACTACTTTTTTTTTTTCGTTTTCACGGTAAGATTAATTTAAGTAAAAAATATTTTATAATTGATAAAAATAGAAATTAAATTTAAAAGTCTTAAAATTTGTGTAAAATCAAAATCAAACGCATATCAGTTATACGGAATACTGACAGAAGGAGAAAAAAATGACAGACAAATTATTTATTTTCCTCAAATGACTAATGAGTGTGTGAGTGAAGCGCGTTTTAACTAGTGTCTGGTTTGGTGCATTGATACGCCTTCATGTGTGGCTTGTATCCATTGGTTATACGGGAACGTCCCAAACTTTCTTTTTTTCATTTTGTTTTCCTTCTCTTATCATCTTTTCTGATCTTTTTTCCAGGAAACTTCTTTTTTTCCCTTTAAAATCCTATTTTTGAAAATCTTTTGCAGAGAAAATCAGTAGCTTTTTTTTTTTTTTTTATGTAAAGAGAGAGTATCAAGGCCTGCAATGGATTATTCAATAAGCCGTTTGCAGGGAAGCAAAGCGGCCAAAAAGGCGAAATCCAAGAAGAAGAACAACAAGAAGCCTATCAAAGTGGTGTACATATCCAACCCCATGAAAGTAAAGACCAGTCCCTCAAAATTCAGGGCCTTGGTGCAAGAACTCACTGGCCAAGATGCCGAATTGGCTGACCCAACCAAGTTCACCGACACCGACGACGACGTCGGCAATCAGACGGTTCCGGATGCTGCAAAAAACAGTATTGATGATCATGCACAGGAGTTCCCTAGAGTAGGGGAACAACCAACTGGTCATCGTCATCATGAGCAACAGCACTCCACCATGGCTTATGATCAGGATGTCCCCTTTGAGACCTTTGACGAGGTTTTTACACCGTATATGCAAGAGAATTTTACAGGGTTCTTGCCTCCAGGCCTTTTCTTATGAATAAGCTTGAATGCACTAAGAAGCTAGCCTTTGATTAAATGTAAAAGGAGTAAGCTCTCTTAGGCCTTTTCTGCTGTTCTTTGGTCGTCTCATACGTACGTTTAATGCCTTGTTTAATTAATGCCATCTTTGTTTGAGGGTTTGCTGTGCTCTTGTTTGAGTGAATCTGATGATGTTATTGTTAGGGTTGCAAAGAAATATCGATGGATATATGATTGCTGTTCTGTCTTGTGTGCTATTGCCTTTTCTTGTCACTTCATGTATTGTAGGGCCTGTTTGGAAGGACTAAAACTAATTAGTGTGGGAGTATGGGTTAGAGACCCAACACATTCAATCTCTACAAGTACAGATAGGTGTATGAGATGCTTAATTAAGCAAATAGAAATCTAGCTAACTCTTTGCAAGCCAATTCCTTCATATGTTTGGGGTGATGTGAAAAAACGTGTCACAGAAATTGCAGCTTGGGTTTCTGAAAAGACTGTGGTTCTAGGAGGCTAAAGGCAAAACCAGTGGTGCAAATCGATTTTCCAGGTCATAAAAGGTAAGATTTTGTTCGGAAGCTCATCAAGCTAAAATTAAGTACTTACCAAAGCTAAAGTTGGGCATTCAGTAGAGTTTGGAGAAAATTTAAGGAATATCCATCCCATGCCACCTCCTTGTCATAACTTTTTCTTTGATTTCATTTCATAGTTTAACCCTAGAACAAATAATAATTACTCCTATAACACAATGTTGGATATGTGCCATCGGTTAATAGTTTTTTTTTTTTTATGTATTTTGTGTACATGCATTATTTATTTAGCCATATTAGTAATATTTATAATATTGTGTTTGGGATTATATCAAACTTTATTTTTTGGTGCATGCCCAGAAAATAACTTCAAGTATATGTGCATAGATAGCTATATAAAAATAACTTCAAGTATATATGCATAGATAGCTATATAACTTTTACAGTTGTAATTATACATGCATGATATACATAAAGACAGAAAAGCTTTTTGAAATTCATTGCATTTTGTCCTTTATTACACAATATTTTAGGGTTCATTTTCTTTAGTTTTGGCATGTTTTGTGGAGAAAGGAAATGCCTCTCTCATTCTCAACCTTGTAGTCCCATGAAAAGATGCTTTCCTCTCCTTGGCGGATGGATAGTGAGCTGTAAGCCTACTAGGTAGTGCGCACATTTTTGTTCTTTATAGTCTATACTACAAATTAAAGTGTACGTATATTTATGTTTGTGAGTGTATATATATATATATATATATAAGCAGTATCCCTCTTGGCTATTTATCTTATACTTTAAAGGGGGTGCCTGGCTTCTATGAGAGAGTCTTTTCGCTGCATCTTTGGCAAATTGTTGCCTAGTCATTTTAGCCATCCACTACGATAGTTTTGTGAGTAAATTGCACCACTCGTACATGATTTTTGTGCAATATTTTATTTTCAATTCATAATATTTAAAACTCAAGTTTTCATTGGCCATTTTTTAAATTATTTCAAATTAATCTATTCTATCAAATGTCACTAAGATTTGACGAAGTTTGTCCCCTTAGAGCGCCATGTGTATATCCATGTGGATGTCTAAAAAGTAGAGCCCCTTGATTTTTTGAGTTAAAATTTATGTGATATGGACATTTATGCGGTATATTTTATTAAAAATTTTAGCGATGGTTGATAAAATTGATGAATTTTGAACAAACTTAAAAGGTCGTTATGAAAAAATAAGTTTTAAAGATTATGAATGAAAATAAATACTACACAAAAATCACAGATGATTGTTGCATTTTACGTTTAGTTTTGTTTAGAAATGAATTTTTCTTGAGAATAGTAGAATTTTGAGACAAATTATTACAGCTATGCAGATCACAAACACACATAAAATCTGACTAGAATTAATGCAATCATCACTTAATTAACTTGAAGACCTCAAGTTCCTTGAATTTTTTTTTTTTTTTGAGATACCTAGTACAAGAATTTTGATTGAATACATAAGATTATTATATAGACTACTCTAGAAAAAAAAAAATGAAGAAAAGCTTTAAACTTAGTTTTGATACAAAGAATCGTTTAGTTCCTTCTAGTTTATGTGGCATACCATTCTTGACCTGTAAACTAATTAGCTAAGGTCGTCAAGTTGTTGCATTGGATAAGGGTCTTCATTAAAAGGTAAAGTGGAAAAAAAGGCTGTGAGAAAACAGATGATGGATAGTGGCTACTTGAAACCTAATAACCACAAATTCATTCCAGCCGCCTTTGGGGATAAAGGTGTTTTCGCAATACCCATTTTTGAATCAACCCGGAAAACAAGACAGTCTCTCATATGGCTATTTCTTCTTTTCATTTTCTCTGATCACCAAAGGCAGAGGCAGAAAATACTATAAAAATTATATATATTCATCTGCAATGCAAAAAAAAAAAAAAAAAAGAAAAAAAAAAGAAAAGAAAAGAAAAGTTATGATAATACTTAAACTTTTGGTTAAATGGTAAACAAAGCATGCTAGCTTTATGTGTCTTTGGTAATTAAAGAAAGTTGTTAATTTTATGTAATGAGACCTACATTTTGGTGTAACTCGGTTATTGCTTTGAAAAGATTTTTCTTTCTTTATCACTTCTTTTTCCCTTTTTCTTCCCAATGCAGCATGCAGTATTCAATTGTTCGTGTCCACCAGATGAGAAATGTAATAAGGGAGAATTACCGGTTAGTATAGGGGGAAACACAAGTGAAAATTGTATCAAATGACATTTTGTTCTTTGCTTCATATTTATTAATGCTTTATAAAATTGTAAACTTGAAGGGATCACCAGAAAATAGTATTTCAATGAAGTTCAACATTGATTTTTTTTTTTTTTCATTTTGAAAAAATAGACATTATTTTAAAGGACTGAAGTCAAATATAATAAACTCATAAACAAATGCAATGTGCTCTGTAGACTGAAAAATATTCAATCAATACTCAAAACTCGTAATCTTTGTATTGATCAATCTAGAGCTTTAACACCGGGAAACATTGATATGATTGTCAGCCAATAAAAAATGACACATGACAAACAATGATTATCTATAATAAAATTTCTAAAAACAATTAAATTTTCATAAAATTATAATTTTTTGTTTAAAAATAAACAAATTATAAAATACGTTTTATTTTTCAAAAATAAGATGAACCAAAATTTTTTAAAAAATAAATTTACTCTTTGAATAACAATTGAAAATTTTACAAAAATTTCCTTTTCTGCTTTTTATTCACAAAATTTTAATTTTTTTTGTTTAAAGAATAAAAAATATATTTTTAAAAAATAAAAATAAAAATTACTTTTTAAAAATTAAAAATTTATTTTAAAAATAATAAAAAAAAGATATTTGTTTTTCTTTCCTTTTTTTTCCTTTTCCTTTTTCTTTTCTCTCCTCCCTTTCTTCTTATCTCCAAGACTCACCCAACCCTAACCCACCTAATGGTCAGATCCTTCCATCATCCAATCGATCTGGCTAGTTGAGGTTGGATCCAACAATGTAGGAACAACCTTTAAATTGGTAGAAAAAAGGGCTGATGAAGCTGAATTCACCTCATATTTCAACCACTTTTAAGTAGTTTTTGACCATGCTAATGTCGGATTTGGCCTCGTTTGTTTAAATTTGGTCGAATAATGATCAGATCTAACCATTAGGAGGGAGTAAGGGAGCAAGATTAAGAGGGAGAGAGAAGGAAAGAAAAAGAGAAAAAAAAATTTAAAATATATTTTTTTAATTTTTATTTTTTTTAAAAAAATTATAATGTATCAAATTTTTTCGAGTAACGATGTTAAAGTTAGAGGTTGAGTGATACATGGATTGTAAGTTTGGGCATTGAACATTTTTTAGTACATGTTTTATATTAGACATTTCTTAGGTTCGATTCCAACTTGAATAGATTTGTAATGTTATTATATTAATAAAAAATATTAATTTTTAATTAAAAATATTAAAAATAATAATTAAAAGTATTTTTCATATTTTAATAATATTTTGAGTATTATTAACAATAAACACTTTTAATATTTTAATTATAAATAGTAGTATATTACTATTATAAATATTTATATGTAATAAGAAATATTTTTTAATATAAAAATATTATTATTTTAATCATATTTTTAATAACAAAAAATATAATTCTTTTAATATTTTAATAATAAATATAAATAAATAACAATTTTTATTATTTAATTAATAATCAACATATACTATTGCTTTAGTAATATAAATATTATATAGTAATATAAATGATATTTTAACAATAAATAGTGCTATTTTAACATGATTAATTTTTCATTAACAAGGTGTTATCTATGTTATTCCATTGACTTATACATTCGGTAATAAAGACTAAGCATGTACATTCGGTAATAAGCTACATATCATAGAAGTTCACATTTGGTAATAAGCAATATATCATGACTTATACATATCCTCATTTCTCTTTGGTTTAATGCTTGTGAGAGAGCATTCTTAAAAGTAAAATCTTGAATGCATCAGGTTGATGTGGGAAAGTGCACTTTTAAAATCACTCGAGGAGGAGAATAAATCCAAACAAAACTTGGAGAATACCCCTAACCATCTTACCAAAAAATAGTAATTCATATTTGAAATTTAGTTCTTCTACTTTAATTCATACAAATGTAATTTTTGTATTATTTTGATTTGATAATTTTAATTCAATCATTGATTCTATCAAATTTATGCCATTAAAAATGTTGATATGGCCATTGATTTAATGATGTGGACATTAACGTTGCTGATGTAGTAACTTGGATAGAAAAATTAATAGTCAAATTATGTAAATGGTTTCTATACTAACATGAAATTAGAACTTTAGTCCCTTTGGATTCATAAAAATCCCATCCTCATACAAGTTGAATTTGATAATTAGTCTAATTAGTAATCGATTAGTTACTCTTCGTTAACTTTGCTGATATAGTTGTTGACTTTACTAACATAATGTTAACTTTGTTGACATAGCAACTTGGATGGATAAAATTCATTTATTTTGGTTGTTGTGACATTTTTTAGGTTAAAGGATCAATCTTATTTGAAAAAGGATCAAACCTTTTTAGCTAGAAAACTTTAAGGAACTTTTTTGTTAAAGAATGGATCGATCATATAAGCTAGAGGATCGATCAATTTTTTTATTTTTAAATTTTATTCAATTTAAGCTCGAATTTTATAAAAATAGATGGCATTAATTAAAAAAAAACTTTCACTTTATTATTAATCAAATCAAAGAGAAAAAATCATATGAGAGATCAAGTGACGACATTAAAAGGGTTACTAATACTTCGAGAAACTTAGACTTCGATTTACCAAATTGGAGTTAGTTTTCTTCCAACTGAGATCCTTCTTCATATATTGATTCAAGTAAAAAAAAAATTGAAATCAAAAGTTCTTCGAAATTTACCTTTGCTCTATTTTGCTTCAGATTTTTATGCTATTCCATTTCAAATATACCAAAACAAAATAAATTCTAACAATCTATGTCTTCTCTATAATTTATTTATTTTTATTTAAATAAAAATAACTTTGTTCTAGATTTAAATTATTAAATATAAAAACAGATAGAGTTTGAGATAAACTCGAAAGTGATGGCAATGTAATTTTTATTGGTAATTAGTTTTTAAAACACTTATAAACTTTTTAATTGAACTTATATTAAAAAATAACTTTAAAGAAACTTATATTAAATAATAATTACTTATTTAAATAAATTTTCTTTTATATGTTTTGATTTA